AACTTCTGTTTTATGTAGAGCTGTGAACAATCTGGCAGAGTTCTGAACTAATGTCATAAAACCTCCTGAAGTTCAACAAGGCCAAGTGCAAGGTCCTGCACATGGGTCAGGGCAATCCCAAGCAGAGACACAGGCTGGGAGAGACTGGATAGAGAGCAGCCCTGAGAAGGACTTCAGTGTGGTGGCTGACAAGAAGCTCAACAGAACCAGCAATACACACTCGCAGCCTAGAAAGCCAACCCTGTGCTAGCTGTATCAAAAGGAGCTGGTCAAGGGAGGGGATTCTTCCCCTCCACTCTGTTCTCATGAGACACCTGCTGCATTCAGCTCTGAGGACCCCAGCATCAGAAGGACGTGGACCTGCTGGAGTGAGTCCAGAGGAGGCCACAAATATGCTGCGAGGGCTGGAGTACCTCTCCTAAGGAGACAGGCTAAGAGAGCTGGGCTTCTTAGGCCCAGAGAAGGCTCCGGGGAGACCTTCCAGTACCTAAAGGGGCTGACAAGAAAGCTGGAGAGGGACTTTTGACAAGGACAAGTGGGATGATTTTAACCTCAGAGTACATTTAGATTAGTTATTAGGAAGAACTTCTTTACTGTGAGGGTGGTGAGGCCCTGGCACACATTGCCCAGAGAAACTGTGGCTGCCCCATTCCTGGTAGTGTTCAAGGCCAGGCTGGATGGGCTTTGATCAACCTGGTCTAGTGGAAGGTGTCACTGTCCGTGGCAGGGGGTTGGAACTAGATGAGCTGTAAGGTCCCTTCCAAACCAAACCATTCTGTGAGTGTATGAAAAGAGAAAGTATCTGAATCCCATTCCTGATACAATCTGAAATACTTTGCTCATTATTTTTGTTACATACGCCACTTTAATTGTATAATGCTACAATGGAATTTACGTATCAGCTGTCATTTTCCTTAACTAAGCAATTTAAGACAACATCCTGTCTTCAACTCGTTCTATTATGAAGGTATCACTCTTTGTCTTAAGCATATTGGGAGAACTTAGGTTTTGAAGTTAAAACTGTTAGAATGCATTGTTTAATCAGTACTGCAAAGGTCTCATATTTCAGAAACAATTCCAAAACCCCAGAAATGTTTATTTTAAGGGAGGTTAGAACATAAAATTCTTGTTGAAAGTTTCAAAGCTGCTTGGCTTTGAGACTTAAAAAGTGAGTTGGTTGACCTGAGTCATTCTATAATGAACTGGAGGATCTCTTAAGAGTCAGTAAAAGCAGAGGACATGTTCCTTTAATACTGCATCTTCGCTGTAAAAACGTTTTCCAGATAGAGATATTTATAAGAGGTGGCTGGTGTAAGCTAGAATTTTTCCTGACAGAGCTGTTCAAATATACTGAACCAACAAAGGACTCCTATAGTGTATTTATGTTTGGTGACACAATTTCTCCTAGCTTGTGCCCCTGCCTTCATTAAGTGATAAATAATACTAGCAAATACAGTTTCCTACAACTCCATCTCCACTTCAGGTTCCTCCTCACAAGTCCCTTTCAGTCCTACATAGTTCTTTGCACCTTTGATTGCCATGGCAGTGACCGCAGCAGTTCACAGAACAGACTTGCCTAGCTTTGTCTGGACATGTACACAGATGAGGCACAGCAGCATGAGGAATACGCCTAAGACCCTTAACACGCTCTTGTCCTAGACCACACTACACCAGAACTAACTTCATCCTGCCTCCACTCAGATTTCATACTGTTAGTCGCATATAAATAGTTAATATAAAAAACAATGGAGAAAAAAAATAATAAATATACATCTGCTTCTGGATGAGACAAAGCCTAAAGCTCAGCCACTTCAGGTGGTCTATTGAACAATGTCTGCATGGGATGACCGGGTGAACCATGCATGGAAGAGTGGATATGGTGATTTCACTGTGTTTCTGCTATGGGATGTGACAGTTATTCCCCATATACCTACAGCAGTTGATCTGAGCCCACAGCATGCTCACGTGTCTCAGGTGCCATCAATCTGCCCATGCATAGCAGCTCTGACACATCCCATACTCACATAGGCCATTGTGCATGTACAGCAGAGCCGCACATGCACAGTCAGTGTTTCAGGGGATGGCCATTTATTTTAGCAGACCAGAGGGCAACCTGGCAAGTCGAGTAAACGCCACACCAGCCATCCCACTGTGCAGAGGATGTAGCCTTTTACGTCACCTTCCCCCCCCCTTCCCTGCTTTTTTCCTCTCTACTCCACCCAAGTCTGGGCCTGTATGGCATAAACGTTTTCAGTTAAATTATGCTAACTTGCCTGAGTTAACAAAATTCAAAGGCACTTTCTTCTGTGTAAGGCAATATATAAACAGATGAAGTTCCCATACCTGAAGTCATTTGAGCAGTATACCTACATTGTCATTTGCAGACTTCATACAAACACTTAGCTCAGGATATGTATTTTAGTTTGGCAGAAATAAGTACATTTTCAGAAATAAGGCCAAGAAATGACGCTAACAATCCAGCTGTTGTCCTTGCATGGCTAACCAAAAGGGAAGGCTTTATATGATTTTAAATACACATATGTATATGAGTATAGAGATAAATGTATCTCTTTTTTATCTCAACATATAAATATGAAAATGTCACAAAGTTCTAATTGAGTTACTCAAAACCCTAGGGAATGAACCAACAAAGGCTTTTTATTATGAAATGGTTCCCAGGAAAACAGGCCAGCAGAAGTCGTATTTGCCACAGCATGCCATTTTAATATAGTATTCCTGGAGCTGACACGTTAAAAATTTGGGAAGAACAGCATAAAGGCCTGGATTCCTCTGTTTATTTTTATGTCATAAAAATACTAATATTAGCTCCTCCTACCCTCCCTTCCTTGTCGTACCTATGTGCTACCCTAGGCCATTTTACCAGCTGGGATTCAAACACTGAACAGAAACCTAAATGACAAGGGAGAAAGAACGCAGGGCTCTCAAGATAAATTTGTACGTATTCGGAGTCTCGGAGGTATCGCTCCCAACGATCTCCCCAAGTCCGGCGAAGTTCTCAAACGTGCCTGCCCCACACGAGTGACCCCTGCCCGCTGCAAGGCAGCACGGGTCATTTCTTTTCCGTCCGTACGACCGATGTCATGATTCAGCATCTCTGCACCGAGTTACCGACTCCCTTCACACCCGCAGGTCCACCCCCGGTCACAGGGGAGGGAGAAAGGGAGGCCCAGGCCTGGGGAGAGGGGCCCCACGGCGCTACCCGCCACGGGAGGCAGGGAGCAGGGAGGAAAGCACGGAGGGAGGGAGCCAAGGCGTCAAGCAGGCAAGAGGCCGCCTCAGGGGCTGCCCTCAGGGCGGCGCCTGGTGCGAAGGCGGCCGGTGGGGGCCCTCGCCGGGCAGCGGCACGGCCTACTCCGCACCGGCGGCGCCGCTCCACTCCGTGGCCGCTCCCACCCGGGGCAAGGCCCGGGAGGAAAGTCCGGGAGTGCGGTCCACTTCCTCACCCCGTGGCCGGACTTTTCTCCGGCTGCAGCGGTGATATAGCATTCCCCATCCCCTCGGAGCCGGAGACCCTCCCGGCCTCCGGGACACGTTAAATCCCGTGTAATGAGGCTTAACCCCGCCCCAAGCCGCGGCGCAGCCGGGCGGGCAGGCTGCCAGCTAGGCCCCTGCCCGGGGGAGCCCCCGCACCCCCCACCTCACCGCCCCGAGCGGCCGCAGCTGTTCTAGCCGGAGCTGCTGGAAAGCGGCCACGCTCCCCAGACTTTGTCTCCCTCGCACACAGCGCTGAACTCTGCTCCCTCCCTTCCCTCCCTTCCCCCGGGGCGGCCGCGGCTCCTCGCTGCCTTCTTCCCCCACCCGCCCCGAGCCGTAGACGCACGGCGGGGGAAGGGGGGAGCTCCCCGCCTTCAGGCAGCAGCCAGCCGTGCCCCTACTCCCCGAGAGGACCTAGCGCCGCCGGGCCGGCCACCGTGCACTGCCCCCGAAGCCGCCGTCCCGGAGAGCTCAGCCCCAGTGCGGGGATCGTGCGGAAACACCTCGCTGTGAAGCGACCACTTTCATCCCCCATACAGATGGGGCTTTTCCAGGGGGCCCTGGGGGAAATAAATAAAAAACAAGGGCGGGAAGAGGGTGGTGAAGCAAGGGGGCTGCAGGCCCCTGCGGGGCGGGGTGGGTGCGTGCGTGGGGTTCCCCGGGGCGCCGCGTCCCGTCACATCCCATTCCGTCCTCGCTCCGCGGCTCCGCGCTTTCCCCGCAGCCCGCCGCGGCAGCTAGCCCGTGAGGTCAGTATCGGCAACGGATGGGTGTCTGCGCCGTGGGACGGACGGCGGGCGGGCCGGGCAGGCGCAGTGTGGGGCCGCGGCGGGGGAGGAGAGCGGCGGGCGGGCGGGTCCTGTGTCTATGTGTCGCACTGGCGGGGGGAGAGGGAAGGGGAAGGAGGGGGGTTACACACCAGGGCAGCGGCGGCAGCGCCGGGATCCCTTCTCCACCCCGCGGGGAGGGAGGCAGCCCCTCCTCCTCCTCCTCCCCCTTTTTTTCACCCTTCCTCCTCCTTCTTTCCCCAAAGTTAAACTTCCTGCTCCCGGCCCGGCTGGGAAGGGGACGCGGAGCCCGCCCGGACTCAGCCCTCGACACACACAACAGCTGGAGCTGTCAAAACTTCCTCCGCTCGGTCTCGGCCCCTGCCGCCTCCGCCGCCTGCTCCTCCTCCGCCCCCGCGGGCTCAGCGCGGGGGGAGGGCGCAGGGCCAGTGTACAATGAAGCGGCGGCCGCCGCAGCCGGGCAGCGCAGGAGCCGGAGCCGCCGCCAGCTCCCGGGGCCTCTGAGGGGGGGGGGCGCCCCGCGGCGGGATCCGCCGCCTCTCGCTCGCTCTCTTCACCTCGCCCGCCACCTCCCCCAGCCCCGACAGACCCCGCCGAGCCGGGGAGGGGGTGTTATTGTGTGTGAGACCCTTCCTGCCTCTGCGCTCTTTCTCTTCGCCCCCTCCTTTCCTCCCTCCCTTCCTCCTCCTGCTCTCCCCATGCTGCTTCCCCTGCTACCTGTGCTGGTCGGCGGCGGCTGAGGCCAGCAATGCGAGGCGGAGGTGGAGGAGGCGGAGGTGAGGAGGAGAGGAGCCGCGGGAGCAGGAGGAGCATCGGGATCCCCATCACCATCCTCATCTTCATCCTCATCATCATCATCCATGTGTCTCTCTCGTCCTGCTGACTAGGATGTCAACGGAGGACAAGAGTCTGGTGGTGGCGGTGGTGGAGCCGCCTCAGCAGCAGCAGCCCCCCGAGCCTGGAGCTCCCCCCCCAGCAGCAGCAGCAGCAGCCACAGACAAAAGACCTAGGGGCCGGCCTCGCAAAGATGGCGCTTCCCCTTTCCAGAGAGCCAGAAAGAAGTAAGTTCAGCGTTTGTGTGTGCGAGGCAGAGAGGGGCAGGGGCCGGCGGCCAGGCGCAGGCAGAGCTGTCAGCGGAGACTCGCCGCTCGTCGCCCCCTCCCTCCTGTCTAATGCCATTTTGAGAAGGGCACGTCTTTCTTCTCCTCCTTTCCCCTTTGCACTTTCCCCTCCTCCTCCTCCTTGTTCACCTTTTGTCTTCCTCCGCCTGTTCTCCCTTTTCCACTTTTCTTTCACCTTCCCTGTTCCTTTCTTCTCCTCTTTCGGAGTTTCTCTTTAGCTCTTCTCCCTCTTCCGTCTTCCTCGTTTTCCCTTGCCTTTGCACCTTCTCCTTTTTGGGTCTCTTCTCCGCCAGGACGCTCGGCTGCATTCAGCGTCTCCTGGCTGTTCCCTGTGCTTGACGGTAGTTCCTCGTCGCTTTTCCTTTTGATCTCCCCCCCCCCCCCTCCCGTTTTTGGGAAAGAAAAGACAGTTTTCGTTGGGTGCGAGGAGAGAGGAGAATCCCCCCTTCCCCCTCACACACACCCAGGCGGGTGCGGACGCGCACACGCAAAGTTGAGGCAGGAGTTTGTCGGCCGTCAGCCCCGCCGTGTGCTCGGAGGTGGGGAGCTGTCAGGCGGCCGCCTCGCACGGAGGGACGCGCCGGCGGGACACTGCCGAAGCACAACAAACACACGGGGGGGCGGCGGGGGTGCCGCTTCCCCGGCCCTGGCAGCTTTCCCTTCACCGCGGCTTCTCCCCGTAGGGGACGCGGGCGTTCGTCAGCCCCAACGGCCGCTGCGTGCCGCCCCCCCCGAGGAAGCCCCTCCTGAGGGGCCGCTCCTCTCGCCTCATCCCCGGGTCGGTGCGCACAAGTTCCCGCGGCGCGGGTACAGGGAGCCCGCCGTGCCAACGGCTGCCCCCCTGCTGAGAGACCAGGGCAAACCGGCGGGTATGGCAGCCCCGCCGCTGATAGGCGTGAGGTGCAGGGCTGGGCTCCCAGAGGCCTGTGGCCGCCACCGTGGAGGTGCCGCTGCCGCGCTGGCTGCGTTCCTCGCGGGTTATTCCTGAGTAGGATGAGTCTTGCCATGACATACCTGATGGCAGCAATAATAGGGCAAAGCTTGGCCAGCCCGTTTTGAGGAGAAGCGTGATGGTTGTTAGCAAAATAGCCTCTGCGCGGGCGAGTCTGCTGGAGCCTCGGGCTTCCAGAGTTTCTTTCCCTTTGTTTTGAAGGGACGCTTTCAGTTTGACACCCTTCGAGTATCTTTAACCAGGTGGGTTGCTGGCGCTTCGCTAAATACCCACTCCAGACCTCACCGCAGGTTTCCGGAGGGGTATCCTTTAGGTGAGAAAAGACCTTTAAGATCGAATCCCACCATAATGTCACGGTGAAAGTCCAAAACACCAGCGAGGGATTCTGTTGGGCTGGACCTAAACCCATGCAAAGACTATGCTTGCTTCTGTACAAATTCATCTTCACAAATATATGTTACATAAATATCCCGTGAAAGAACTATCATTAGTTTGGGATATATGGTTTCTTTTTGTTGTTGTTGTTGTCGTTGATGAAGGCTTCCTTTCAGAGATTTTAATGCTCACCCCCTGGTTTTGATGGTGACTGTTTGCAGGTCCCTCTTTTAATTCTTACGTATTTGCTCAATACAAATTTTCATACAGTGGTAGTTGAAAATAGTTGGCAAACATACACGTGCAGTAAATTTCTTGTGTTTCTCTCCTTTATGCTTAGTTTTAAGTACTTTGGTTTTAGTTCTACGCATAGAATCCAAACCTGACATAGGAAACCTTTGAATGTTTTATTTCCAAAGAAGTTTTAGGAAAGAAAATGCAAATGCAACTCAAATGTACCAGTCTGCACAAAAACCAAAGTGGTGTCATTTGTGAAAATTGATGTATCTTGTTGGCCAATTTGAGGTTTTGTACATACTTCTGATGAAAAGTGGGTGCTAAAGAGGTAGTTCCTTTTTTTTCCCCAGTTAGGTTTTTGGTGTCATGGGAATACTGTAGAGTAGTTTTTGGAGGAAATTAATTTTTCCTGTAAAAATACGTACTTATGCTGGCCTGACTATAAGCTTCACACTATGATTCTTCCTGCCTGGTGTGGGGCTGAGTGTCCTGCATTTTTATGGAATACCTGTAATGTTGGTAAAGGTGTAAGTCATAAATTCTTTTAAAACTATGATATTATGAATAATGGTTATTTACTAACTTTCATGAAGTAGGTATAGACAGGTATTTTTTAGTTGCATCCATTTAGGGGAGAAAATCGTTTTATTTTGTAAGTTTTTCTATTTACAAAATACTGATTACAATTAGCTAAACAAATGCAGAAATAAAAGAAGTAAAAATATTTTCTAGTTTTTCTTAGGACTGCTTAGTCCTATCTTCCTTTTTACTTCTGTGCTTTCCCGTTGGATTAATGTGCCTCATGTAAAACAGATAAAAGAGCATATGTCAGACCATTTTCTGTACTGTAATCACATGTCTAAATCACTATTAGCCAGTCAAATTGTTCAACTGCTTTATCCCATTATAGGAAATGTTCCACTGAATGTTCAGTCTAAGTAATGATAAAGCAGAGAGCCCTGCATTAAGCTGGCAAAGCCAAAGTAGAATGATTCCTCAGCTATGGGTGCTTCCATTAAAGAGCAATACCATATTGGAGGTTGCTATTTTACCTTCTTGAAGGCTGTGTTTTTAAGCAAATTCAGTGAGCTTTAAGCAGGCAGATGGAAAACTGCCTTAAGTCTGCTTTTGTGAGATGCCAGTGATTCTCAACTCTTCCCAGAAGTAGGCCTGCTTTAAGGGAGCACAGGGTTCTTCAGTAGGACAGCTCTACACAAGTCTCTGTCATCCTGTGTTTTACCTGGTTGCCAGTAAAAATGCTGGTGATACTGTGGACATGGGTATATACAGGGAATGGAACAGTTCACGTTTCCTATAGGTGATGAATTGGGAATCAGTGGTGTCAGTACCTGGAGAGTTACTGAGCTTTAGCTTGATGCTGGAACAGCTTTTTATCATTGTTTGAAGGATATAGCTTCCTGAGTAGCATTGTCAGGGGACTTAATCTTAGGTGAACAGTTCATTTTTATTATTTATATTGTAATTGTGCCTAGAGGCCAGGGCACCATTATACTACCTGCAGTACAAATGAATAAGCAAAGGTTGCTGCTGCACAATTTCTTAATTTAAATGTAAAGATAAGACGGCATGTAAATGTTAAGAAACGTGTTGGGAAAGCGTAAGGGATCTGTGAGAATGCTATGAGCAGAAGATGCAGAAGTACCATGGTTTATCTTCGCATAGAATCATAGAATAGTTAGGGTTGGAAAGGACCTTAAGAGCATAAAGTTCCAACCCCCCTGCCATGGGCAGGGACACCTCACTCTAAACCATATCACCCAAGGCCTCGTTCAACCTGGCCTTGGACACTGCCAGGGATGGAGCATTCACAACCTCCTTGGGCAACCTATTCCAGTGGCTCACCACCCTAACAGGAAAGAATTTCCTCCTTATATCCAATCTAAACTTCCCCTAAGTTTTAACCCATTACCCCTTGTCCTGTCACTACAGTCCCTAATGAAGAGTCCATCCCCAGCATCCCTATATGCCCCCTTCAGATGATTCATGGGCATCAGACTTGGAGGGTATATTTAAAGGATAAAGCATTGCCACCTCAAGGATTTTTACAGACAGCTTGTTTTCTGCCTGAAGTGCTAGTCAAACAGTCGTATTTTCTTCTTACATGTTGACGACTGGGAATCTGTGTAGAGCAGCAGTTCAGATTTAAGAGGCAGAACTAGAATAAGCCATGCAGAGCCTTAAAACTGAGAGCATGTAGGTTGTTCATGATACGCTTCATCAGGAAGGAAGAACACATAGAACTATAACCAGAGGCCATCTCATTGTGTGGCCTGAAATCTTGGAAACTTAACTCTTGTACTTGGATTATACTTCAACTGCCAGGCTATGCTCCTGAATGTAATCAGGAAGAAGTTGCAGGGGAAGAGTATTGGTTCCGTTTTACCTATACTGTCATTGTATGAACAGCTGATTATTCATTAAAATGTATCAGAGTAGTATTGTACAGGTGCAGTAAACAAGTTTGTAATCTATTTTAAGTACTAGATCTTTCTTAGTCTATATAGGTTATAAGCAGCATAGACAGATGTAGCAAAAATTTAGTCTCATTAGTTGTGATCGTGATAGCAGTTACTTTTTAGGTCAGTATCTAAGCTAACTCTAAATTTTATATTCAGCATCCATCAGACATTGATGTATGTTACAAATTATTTTGGAAAATGTGTGTAGTTGAAAACAGCATAGGATAATGATTTCAAAAAGCATGAAATTTGTGGAAAATTTCATGCTTGTTTATTTTTAATTACCTATGTTCTAATTTTTGTCCTCCTTTTACATTTCTTTGGCCAATGTAAGCTGCAGTAGGTTTTCAAAGACCATAGATATTATATATGCAGATAGTTTTAAGGACACTTAAGCATAGCATTTTTTGCCAGGAAATGATTATTTAACAGTTTTTATCATTACTTTAGCTGCATTTGCATTAAGGTAGGCCAATATTTAATGAAATCTACACTTATTTCAAAAGAACCTTAACGTGTTGGATGAATTCTGTTTATAGCTCAGCTGTGTTTCTTTAGTTCCTGACACAAGTATGTGATGTGATACGTACTATGTGATACTTATTTGTATATTTGCTTGCCTGCTCCTTTCTCACTTCAAAA